AGTGACTCCTCTCAGCTCTGTGAATAGGTACTATGATAATATTTCCACCAATTTATTGTGACATGGAGAGTTAACTTGCTCAAACTCAGTCATGGATCCAGCATGTGAACCCAGAGCCCATGTTTAACTTTACCACTTGACCTGCTTTCTGTTTTCTACCTGCTATTTTCCAAATTCAAACCTGTCTTGTCTGTTTTCAGCACTTCTGTTCTGTTTTGAAGGACTTAAGCCTTTTTTCTTTTTCTTTTTCTTTTTTTTTTTTTTTTTTGAGACAGGGGTCTCCCTATGTTGCCCTCAAACTCCATATGTTGCCCTCACTCAAGTGATCCCCTAGCCTCAGCCTCCCAAAGTGCTGGGATTATAGGCATGAGCCACCACACCTAGCCCTTTCTATTTCTTTACTGCTGTTTTAGTGGAGTTTCAGGAGACAGTAGAGATAAATGTGCACCACACATAACCGAAGATTGAAATCACTTTTTGGATGTAGAGGCTACACTGGTCACAGTGACTGATGGATGGTCATTGTGAACCTGGGATTCCACTGCATTGCCTTGGCTTCTGTTTCTGCTCTGACTCCAGTTAGACTCTCTGTAGCCAGAGAAGCCTTTCGAGCCTTAGCCCACATATGTCATGGTTGCCACCTTACCTAGAGCTGTTGCTGACACTCAGCATCCATCACTCGGGAAATGATTGGCCAGGTTTCAAGATCCAGAGCATGAAAGCATCAGATAAAGGAGGCAGAACTGGAAGTGTTTCACTGTATGACTGAAAAATCACACATATATGTGAAAGGCCAGAACGATTAAAATTAAAAAGTGAATAATGGATAAGGTGAATACAGGTGATTTACATTTTCTTCTGTCTGCTCATCTATTTTCGTATTTCTACAGTATATATGCATATACCAAAAATGTGTATTATAAGGTATTTTAAAATGTTCACTCTGATTCAGTGGTTGTACTTCTTAGAAGCATTCTAAGGTAATAATAATTGAAGAAGTGTGTAAAAATGTAGCCATAGGAATGTTTATTCCAAAAACATTTACACTAGCATTAGAAAACCAAGATGCATAAAGAGGAGTATAAAGTTGGACCCTAAAGTCCAGTGACTCTAAAGTCATTAAAAATATTTAACAAGCCGGGCGCAGTGGCTCAAGCCTGTAATCCCAGCACTTTGGGAGGCCGAGGCGGGTGGATCATGAGGTCAAGAGATCGAGACCATCCTGGTCAACATGGTGAAACCCCGTCTCTACTAAAAATACAAAAAATTAGCTGGGCATGGTGGCGCGTGCCTGTAATCCCAGCTACTCAGGAGGCTGAGGCAGGAGAATTGCCTGAACCCGGGAGGCGGAGGTTGCGGTGAGCCGAGATCGCGCCATTGCACTCCAGCCTGGGTAACAAGAGCGAAACTCCATCTCAGAGAAAAAAAAAAAAAAAAAAAAATTTAACAAAATGTTCATATGGCATTCTTATGTGGGGAGGGAAAGCTTACGAAACATTATGCACAATATAATCTCCTTTTTAATAGATGCACAGAATAATATCAAAAGATAAATACCATAGGTTGAGAGTGGTTATTATAGGGCCTGGGATTGACAATTCAAGGCTAATGCTTTTCCTTGGGGGCCCCAAGCACTCCTACCTGGCCCTCTGCTAAGGGGTAGGAAGGGGGCTGGGAGGAAAATGTAAGACAGGTGAAGGCAATTAGACATGATGGTGCTCAGGCCAGATTTCCTATAAGGATAACTCCTGAACACAGGCAGTTCCAGCAGGATATGAAATGAAATTTCTGTAAAACGCTTTTTTTGAGTTTTTCATAAAGGATTTTGTAAAAGATTGTTTAACTTGTGGGGTATATGTGCAGGTTTGTTACATAGGTATAAACGTGCCATGGTGGTTTGCTGCATCCAGCACCCCATCTATATGAGTTATTTTCCTAATGCTGTCCCACCCCAATCCCCCCACCCCCTGCTTTACCTCCCCTACCTCCCCACCCACCGACAGGCCCTGGTGTGTGATGTTCCCCTCCCTGTGTCCATGTGTTCTCATTGTTCAACACCCACTTATGAGTGAGAACATGTGGGGTCTGGTTTTCTGTTCTTGTGTCATTTTGGAGAATGATGGTTTCCAGCTTTATCCATGTCCCTGCAAAGGACATCAACTCATCCTTTTTTATGGCTGCATAGTATTCCATGGTGTATATGTGCCACATTTTCTTTATCCAGTCTATAATTGATGGACATTTGGGTTGGTTCCAAGTCTTTGCTATTGTGAACAGTGCAGCAATGAACATACGTGTTCATGTGTCTTTATAATAGAATGATTTATAATCCTTTGGGCATATACCCAGTAATGGGATTGCTAGGTCAAATGGTATTTCTAGTTCTAGATCCTTGAGGAATTGCCACACTGTCTTCCACAATGGTTGAACTAATTTACACTACCACTAACAGTGTAAAAGTGTTCCTATTTCTCCACATCCTCTCCAGCATCTTTCGTCTCATTTTTTAATGATCGCTATTCCCTCTGGCATGAGATGGTATCTCAATGTGGTTTTGATTTGCATTTCTCTAATGACCAGTGATGATGAGCTTTTAATCATGTTTGTTGACTGCATAAATGTCTTCTTTTGAAAAGTGTCTATTCATATCTTCACCAACTTTTCGATGGGGTTTTTTCTTGTAAATTTCTTTGTAGATGCTTTCATTGTTTTTAAAAAGTTAATCCAGACACTGCTGTCAGCTTTCCATAGTATTGGTTTCTGTAATGTCCTAATAGAGCAAAGGAAGGACACTCCTGAAGTTAAAAAAAGCTTCGATGACACCGGGTGAGGTGGCACACGCCTATAATCCCAGCACTTTGGGAGGCTGAGGCGGGCGAATCACCTGAGGTCAGGAGTTCAAGACAAGCCTGACCAACACAGAGAAACCCTGTCTCTACCCAAAATATAAAATTAGCCAGGCGTGGTGGTGCATGCCTGTAATCCCAGCTACTTAAGAGGCTGAGGCAGGAGAATCACTTGAACCCAAGAGGCAGAGGTTGCGGTGAGCTGAGATCAGGCCACTGCATTCCAGCATTCCAGCCTAGGTAAGAAGAGCAAAACTCCATCTCAAAAAAAAAAAAGCTTCTATGGAAGGATTTGCAGAGAACAGAAGAAAAAGGTTACATAGCAAAAATTTCCTTCTGGTTATCTTTGGTGTTAAGATTATTTAATTTTATTGTAAAATTATCTGTATCTTCTAATTTTCTCACAATACATATTCCTTTTGTATTTTTTAAAAGATGTTTTAAAAATATACAGAAAATGTAATCTAGAAAAAAGTTACTTTTTCCAGTTCCAAGCTAAATAAGTGAAAGTCACTTTACTGATTACAAAGAAATCTTTAAATGTGAACTTGGTATCCACTGTTTGCAACAGATCAATATAGAGAGGTTGCAGAACAACAGAGACTCCTCAAATCTCACTTTCCTTAGGAATATATTTTTCTAGATATATTTGACTATGTCCTAACTATGTTCTATTTATTTGCATGTCAGAAATTATCTTAGGCAAGTTGCTTTTCTCCCTTTTTTCCAACTTGGAAAAACACTTCTCAGATTGCTACAAAAGGCCAACTGAGAACTCTTCATTTTTGAGACAGGGTCTCAACTCCATCACCCAGGCTGGAGCACAGTGGTACAAACTTGGCTCACTGTAGCTTCAACCTCCTGGCTCAAGCGATCCTCCCATCTTAGCCTCTCAATTAGCTGGGACCACAGGTGTGCACCACCATGCCTAACTAGTTTATTTTTTTTTTAATTTTCAGAAGAGATGAGGTCTTGCTATGTTGTCCAGGCTGGTCTCAAACTCTTGGCCTCAAGCGATCCTCCTGCCTTGGCCTCCCAAAGTGTTGGGATTATAGGTGTGAGCCTTGACACCTGGCCAACTCTCTTCCTTCTGTACAGACCTGATATATGGTTTTCACCTTTAACATAACATGTATTATTTTTTTGAGATAGGGTCTCACTGTGTCGCCCAGGCTGTAATGCAATGGCATGATCCTGGCTCACTGCAACTTCCACTTCTCAGGCTTAAGCAATTCTCCTGCCTCAGCCTCTTGAGTAGCTGCGACTACAGGTGTGGGCCACTGTGCCTGGCTAATTTATTTATTTATTTATTTTTTTGTAGAGACAGGGTTTCATCATGTTGCCCAAGCTGGTGTTGAACTCCTGAGCTCAGGTGATCTGCCTGTCTCAGCCTCCCAAAGTGCTAGGATTACAGGCATGAGCCACCAAGCCTGGTGTGTATTCGCTTTTTAAAAAGCCTGTCCCATACTGAATTGTGGGAATCTATGAATCATCTTTTAATGTCAATTAAAAGTAACAGTGGCTACAGATATTGATTTCTGAAAATACATGAGAATTTGTCTCTAACTATGGTTAAACATCAAAACCAAATCTGAATCAGGTACAGGTCTACCAGACACAAACTCTGAAATTAAACAATAGGACTGTTACTGGGAAGGGGGAATCCTTTGAGTGAAAAGGTAACATACAGTTTTCCTTGGTGGCTGGTGCTCTCCCCCAACTTTCATACTGGAACAAGAGTTAGGCGCAGGTTTAAATGATCCTTTACTATTCTTTTGTGAAGAATGATAAATGAGTCATTTGGCTGAAACTGTTGAAGTGTTCCAGTCCTAAGGGCTTCACTCTCACTTCATGTCATGTATTGGTAAGGTACCTAGATGAGATTAGTGTCTGTGCCTACATGTAAAGACCAATGATAAAATGAGGAAATGATTTTTTTTCTTTTACTAAGAGATGGGGTCTTTCCATGTTGCCTGTGCTGAACTCAAACTCCCCAACTCCTGGACTTAAGCTATCCTCCTGCATCAGCCTCCCAAACAGCTGGGACTATAGGTACATGCTACCACACCCAGCTAGGGACAATGATTCTTAAAGTCTCTGCTGCTATCTAGGAATCTTATTAAATATTGTTATTTTTAAAAGGCCACCCAAATATATTTTCTTGAAAGAAACATTTATTTATGATCTTTATTGGTGAAACAATTTCAAACAAATCCAGAAAAGGTTCTCACACTTTGAGCCTTTAGTGCAAAGACATTATGCCATGCAGGAAATAAAATGCTTATCCAGTGGAGCGCTCCCCTGAGGCATTTAAATATTAGAATGCTCAGGCAGAAGACAACTTATGTGACAGAAATCTGCCCAAAAATCTGCTTGAAAAAGGGCATGATAAACCTCTTATTAAGGTTTCTCACAACATAAATATGCTTAAGCAACTTATAATTCCAACTTAATTTCAAAACACCCCAACTATCCCTTTAAATAAAAAAAATAATCAATTTATACTCTTCTTAAAAGAACTCCAACAATTTAAAATAAGTTCCAATTTCATATATATATATGTACATTTATAACTTAGGTGCTCTTTTGCACTATATACTTTTATTCATGCAAAAGTGATAGAGAACTGGACTTGAGGCTCTACAGAGGCCTTTCTGAGAAAGCTGTGTAGCTCCTTACTCTGGCGAAGAACAAGGGGGTGTACATCTTGTCAATCTCAAAAGCACTGACTGCAGTCTCACCAGTTGATCTGTAAAGAAAGCACAAAATTACCAGTACAAGGAAATTTCAACTCGTTTAAAATCCTTGTGTGTTTGGGGAAGGTTGTTACTGCTTTAGCCTTTTTTCTTTTTAATCCATCTTAGGAAATTCTATATACTATAGGCATACTGTAGAAAACTTGAAAAATTTAGAAATGTATAAAGAAACATCATTTATAATTCTAACACTCAGATCCATATGAAGGATATTTTCTAGTGTTTCTTGAGATCAAACTTAGTAATTCTGCTTTTCATTTCATTTAATTATTTGCATTTTCCCACACCATTATTTTTCAGAAACTATTTTTGGTGGCAGGATGGTATTTCATTGTCTGCTTGTATCACAGTTTACTTAATTGGGGATTTAGGTTGTGTCTACTATTTCTCAATTTAAAATAATGTGATGTTGATGTTCTTCAGAGATTTCTAAGAGTAGAATTTTTAAGTCAGAAGGTATAGACGTTAGGTTCTTGTTAAAATATTTCAGGAAGAACTATATTCCTAGAAGAGAATTTGATTATTTAATATTTACATAATTACAGGGGAGGGAAAGTAGGTGGTAAGTTATGCTACCACTGCTTTTTATTCCTCCCCTTCCAAGAGAGAAATAAACAAAAGCAGAGAATTCAAGAGATTTTATATTATATGGACGTCAATGTGATAATTAGCAGCTACAAATAATGCCTATTGTAATGTCCTTTTTTTTTTTAAATCATATATATATAGGTATTTCTAATGGGTCAAGTATAAATTATAACCATCCGTTGTTCATTTGCTTAGTTCTACTTCAGGGTTTGGTTTATTTTTTTCTTTATTTATTTATTTATTTATTTTTTTGAGACAGAGTTTCACTCTTGTTGCCCAGACTGGAGTGCAATGGCATGATCTCAGCTCACCGCAACCTCCGTCTCCTGGGTTCAGGCAATTCTCCTGCCTCAGCCTCCTGAGTAGCTGGGATTACAGGCACACGCCACCATGCCCAGCTAATTTTTTGTAGTTTTAGTAGAGACGGGGTTTCACCATGTTGACCAGGATGGTCTCGATCTCTTGACCTCGTGATCCACCTGCCTCGGCCTCCCAATATTTTTTTCTTTTTTGAGACAAGGTCTTGCTCTATCATTCAGGCTGGAGTACAGTGGTATGATCATAGCTCACTGCAGCCTTGTACTCCCGGGCTCAAGAGATCTTTCCACCTCAACTTTCAAATTAGCCAGAACTTCAAGGAGCATACCACTATGCCTGGCTAATATTTTTATTTTTTGTAGAGATAGGGTCACCCAGTTTTGCCCAGGCTGGTCTCAAACTCCTGGCCTCAAGTGATCCTCTTGCCTTGGCCTCCCAAAGTCCTGGGATTACACGCAAAAGCCTTTATACCTGATCACGTTTCTTTGAAAAGTAGAAAAAAATTCCACAGCATTACAGAGAGAAGCAAAAAGGAGATATAGTAGAACTGGTAGGCAAAGGTGAGAAATAAAAATGTTCTGTTGTCAAGGCCTTCCAAATGAGCAGGGAAAAGTTATTTGTAAATCAGAAATGTGACAAAGTTTTCAACAATGTGGTTAAGGTTGCAAAGAGGCTAATGGAAGCTGGCCTCAAAACTTCTCTCTTAGAATTTTAGATTCAATCAGAACAAAGAGGCTTCGGACACATACCAATATACTTGCAGCTCGAACAAGAGCGAACATTAATATTCACAGGAATTGATATTTTACTTCCCTGATTCTTTTTTAAGTTTTGCTTATTTCTGTCTGGCTCCTTTTTTTTTTTTTTTGAGATGGAGTTTCGCTCTTGTTACCCAGGCTGGAGTGCAATGGTGCGATCTCGGCTCACCACAACCTCCGCCTCCTGGGTTCAGGCAATTCTCCTGCCTCAGCCTCCTGAATAGCTGGGATTACAGGCATGCACCACCATGCCCAGCTAATTTTTTGTATTTTTAGTAGAGACGGGGTTTCACCATGTTGACCAGGATGGTCTTGATCTCTTGACCTCGTGATCCACCCGCCTCGGCCTCCCAAAGTGCTGGGATTACAGGCGTGAGCCACCGCACCCGGCCCTGTCTGGCTCCTTTCTCATACCTCCCCTCTTCAGTTCCCTGATTATGCTGTACAGGTTAAATGCTACTGCATAGAACAAAGAGTTTTAAATAGGAATTCTAATAGATTTGGCTTTGGAATATCTGCGATCTTATTTTTTTAGTAGACTTACTTTCCTAACTACAATTTTATTAAATCAGTGTATGATCCCTGAAGATAAAACAAATGAAAATAAAGCAAGAAAAATAACTAAATTATGGGAAAAAAAAAATAATCCGCTAATTTAAAATGGCCTTAAGTCTGCATGGACAGCTCACAGATGACTAAGTACCATTCTCCCTATGGAATGCTACTTTCATTTCCAAAGTGGTGGTACCAATTCCCATTCCAATGGATACTATATGAGTGTTCCAGATGCTCTGCTTCCTCAAGCATGCTTACATTTGGGCCATTTTCTTCAGTTGTAGTACTATTGGTTTTAGTTTATAATGTAGTATTATTACCTCTGAAAAATTAGCAACATATCTGAGATTCTTAAGCTGGATATGAAGTATACATTTATAGTGTAACCTTGCTATTTTTATTGCATTCACCTACTTGTAAGTAATGTGACAAGAATGATGTATCCAGATGAGTTTGTTGAACCTCTGGTGGCCACTGGAACATAGTTGTAGCCCCACATGAAAACTCTGATCTGCTTCTTGTACAGGGACACGACGAAAATATCTGTATTTATAGTCAAGTGGTTTCTGCAAAAGAAAAGATGCATAAGCTATAATGAAACCTTACTTCAGCTATATGTTTACAGAAATATTGTGCAATAGTGACACTAAAAGCAACAATATCTGCACGCAGTAGAGTTGTTTTGAATATCATGATAATGTATCAATGCTTTAAAAACTGTTACTCTAAAAATATCAGGATTTTCTCTATCATTATCTCAGTTAATCATCAAGATAATCTCATGTGTTAAATATGATTGATTGCATTATTTCTATTTAATAGCTAAAGAAATGAAGATCCAGGGAGGTAAAACTACTATGTAACCAAAGTTTTTTAAGAGGGAAAGTGATAAACTGGTGAAGGATGCACAAAAAGCAGAGTAGAACTTATCTTTTGCAATAACAGTAAAATAGCAAAATAAGAAAGCTGACATTCTACATGGGAGTTCCTAAACTCTTTTATTAGATAAAACCTAAGCAACTAACGCCTTCCAAATCCCCAATTTTGACTTCAAAAAACCCACAGTCACAGTCAAAGCAACTCTGTTTCTCAGGCTGCTGCCGCCCAGGCTCCAAATGCCCATCAGACGGAACTTCATACATGATGTAGGAGAAAAGGGGATTTCATACAAGAGAAATACCCTTCAAAAGCTGTATTATATAGGCAACAAGTAAATGTTAATATTTATTCCAACTACCATAGAACTTGCTTCTTGGGTACATATAACAGTTTTTAACCAGAATTGAAAAAGTGCATATAGAGAAAGGTTGTGAAAAAATTAGATTATCCATCTGTTAAGACAATTTAAAGCACTCTAGAATGTAATAATGTCAGTAATCTTATTTGCTTGGCATTTTTTTTTCTTTCGTAAGAACAGGAAGAAGAAAATTATCTGAAGTTAGCTTGTTTCCGGTAGAAACTGAAGTTCTAAGAATATCCATATAGCCAGCTGTGCATGGTGGCATATGCCTATAATCCCAGGTACTTGGGAGGCTGAGGCAGGAGAATTGGTTGAACCCGAGAGGTGGAGGTTGCAGTGAGCCGAGATGACACGACTACACTTCAACTTAGGCAACCAGAGGAAAACTCTTTTTTTTTGAAACAAAAGAAAGAAAGAAAAAGAAAAAGAAGAATATCCTTATAGAAAGAATTATCTAAATGAGCTAATTTAGGAAGAAAAAAGCCCTGTGATTCAAAATGAGAAGAGCCAAAACCATATTGAGCTTTAATTTTACTAGTTATTTCACAAGAGATTCTGGCTTTACATTTTTAAAGAACATTGGACCAGAAAAGGAAACTATCTGATGAAAAACAAGCCGATCCAATAAAAACCACATTTTAGAGGCAGCCAGTGGGGGCCTAGTGGAGGGAGGGGTAACAAGATGGCAACCAAGACGGTGGAGCTCCAAAAGCTGAAGCTTGCTGAACTTGCTTGTGGTTTGGAGACCAAGGGAATAAAGCAAGATCTTATCCACAGACTCCAGGCATATCTTGAAGAATATGCTGAAGAGGCAGCCAATGAAGATGATGTACTGGGAGATGAAACAGAGGAAGAAGAAACAAAGCTCATAGAGCTCCCTATCAAAGAGGAAGAACCCCTTGAAAAAACTGTCGATGTGGCAGCAGAGAAGAAAGTGGTGAAAATTACATTGGAAATACTACAGACTGAGAGAATGCAAAAGAGGGCCAAACGAGTCAATGTACCTGTGAGCTTGGAGAGCAAGAAAGTTGCTCGGGCAGCTAAGTTTGGGATTTCTTCAGTTCCAACAAAAGAGCTGTCATCTGATAACAAACCTATGGTTAACTTGGATAAGCTGAAGGACAGAGCTCAAAGATTGGATCTTTGAACTCCTTCCTTCAGCTTATCCAAGTTAACCATAGGTTTGTTATCAGATCTCCAGAAAATCTGATGATGATGAGAAAAGCGATTTGGAATTGTCACAAGTTCAGCTGGAGCTGCAACCACAGACAATACAGAGGCAAAGAAGAGGAAAAGAGCAGAGTGCTTTGGGATTGCCTGATGAAAAGTTCTTGATACTTTCTGTTCTCCAGCGTTTCCATTTCTTTGATTCTTCTTGGTTACATATATACCTAAATGCATAGTCATGTGTCTATGTCCTGCCTTGCAATGAGGGAGCATGTACCCCAGGTACATCCATGAGCTGCAGCAGCAGTTTGACTTATTGCTGTTTCAGCTTTAAAGCTGTGTTTTTGTTTTTGATTATGTTGCTTGTTAATAAAAATAGAAACATTTTAGAAAAGTCTTCAGTTTTCTTCAGTGATTGCTAGAAGTTAATATACATTTTGTGTAACAGTATAAACAGATAGGGGGGTTTTTTCATTGTTCTAATTGAGAATGCTTGAATGAATAGGCTATTAAGATAAGAAAATTATTAATTCCACCTCATATACTCACTTCTTCTTTTTTCTTAGTTATTACAGCAAATACTTTGGTCTGATTGTCTGTGTCTTGTGACAAGCGATAGTGACCTAGTAGAATTGCATCAGTCCTTAAAAAAAAAAAAATTGAATCTAAATCAGTTATTAGGTGGGTTTAAGTAATCTAAGAAGTAATAAATTACAACAGTATTTACTCCTGCTTGAAAAGAATCAGCCAGAATCAAGTAAACCTCAATTCCAAGGCTCCAAAGACATAGTGAAGTAGATTCTCTAAGGAAAAGCCCAGAAACTGGTATCTTTCACAAGTCCCCAAATGATTGCTTTAAAAATAATCTAGTATTAAGTGAAGGAAGCACTGGGTTACATTAACCTGCAAGCAAACATATAAAACGTAGACTGAATGGAAAGCCATTAAAAAAAAAATACTACCTGGTATTCCTAGTTCTTAAACGAGGAACAATGGACTGAGGCTCCTCAGGGGTTGTCAACATCATCACATGGCCATCAGGAAAGAATCTTATGTACCTATATAATAAAAAAAAAAAAAAAAAAAAAAAAAAGACCAAAACATACCCCATACACAAAGTATAAAACATGTCCTTATCTATCAGTACCTAGGCCTAGGTCTACTCATATCTATGAAACCAACACTAAAATACCATGGGCTAAAGAACTGCTAAAACATTAAACAAATATGACTATCTGTTAAGTCCAGCAATAAAGAACCAAAGATACATATCTTCTTCAGGGGGAACTGCTGAGCTTTTAAATTTCAGTCACTGAATAAAGTTAAATATTGTTTTACTAAAGTTCTGTGCTTTTCCCAAAGCAACAATTTCAAACAAAGTGAGAGCCAATAACACACAGTAGTTAACATGTCTATTTTTTTCTAAATGATAGTAATATTTGGTGGGGAATAAAAGCACAAGCTATTTGAAAAGGCAAATAAGCATACCCAGCACAAAAGACAAGGAGAAATCTAAAAGAAGCCAGAAGAAATTCTATAATTTATATTAGCCTATTGGTTTTTTTAGTGCAATTCCTATATTGTAGTACTAGATAAAAAGGCTGAGGGCCATTTTGAAGGTCAATCAAAAGCAACAAAGAACAGATGTCCATATCACTAATACATGGAGAGAGAGAATTTTCCACTCACTCAGTGTACTACAGTTGTACCTGTAATATTCCACTTGGTGCCAGGCTCTATAGAAACCATCAAGAGACTGTTCTCCTTGACGAATATATGTGGTTTTACTGATATACACTCCTATGAAAATAATTTTTAAAAATTATAATCATATTAAGAGATTTCCATTATAATATTTACTGTGGTATCCTTTAAACACGCTTATAGTACTCATGTTCATCACAGAAAATTTAAACGATGTATTTATCAAAATCAGCATTATAGATCACTATTTCTGTTGAGTTCTACAGAATCCAACTTACCATCAAACCGGACACGAGGCCGTTCTAAAAACATCTCTCTCCAGGATGTGTAAGGAACAAGTTTAATACAGCTTCTGCCCCAAACTTTCAAGCAGGCCAGACGCCATATTTCAGGGTCTCTAGGGAATAAAAGCACACCATCAATAAAGACTAAGTCCCTATAAACAGGAATAAATATTTTTGCTATCAGCCATCTTTTATTTAACAAGTATTTGTTGAGCATCTGGGAGGCACTGTTCTGAGGAGAAACTAATGGACAAGGAAAATGCCCTGCTCTTTTACTGTGCGAAAGCAAATTGAGAGAAAAGCCTCTGGTAGTATACTTAGTGCAAAAATCAACCAACCAAGAGTCAGCAGACAGAAACGATGGTGATGAGAAAACAGAGGAGGAGGGAAGCCGGGAAATGCCTCTCTGGGAAGGTAATCATAGTGATGGGGATAAGTATCCCAAGCAGCAGCCAGAGCTAGAAGGAGCACACAGCTGTGGCAAAGTGGGCATTGTGCAGAGGGAAATATACGATGAGGCTGTTGGGGCAGGTGAGGTGGCATCTTGTAGGCCGGAGTGGTTATTTACATAAGATGGATGCCACCAGAGGGTTCTGAGCATGATTTATGCTTCTATCGTAAAAGATCACTCTGGTCACCGGGCAAGATGGCTGAATAGGAACAGCTCTGGTACACAGCTCCCAGCGAAATCAACACAGAAGGGGCATGATTTCCACATTTCCAACTGAGGTACCTGGTTCATCTCATTGGGACTGGTTGGACAGTGGGTGCAGCCCAAGGAGGGTGAGCTGAAGCAGGGTGGGGCATCCCCTCATCCGGGAAGCACAAGTGTCCAAGGAACTCCCTCTCCTAGCCAAGGGAAGCCATTAGGGACTGTTTATTGCACTCCAGTCCACACACTGCTTTTCCCATGGTCTTCACAAGCCACAGACCAGGAGATTCCCTCCAGTACCTACACAACCACCAGGGCCCTAGGTTTCCGGCACAAAACTGGGCAACGGTTTGGGTAGAAACCAAATTAGTTGCAGCAGTTTTTTTTTTTTTTTTTTTTTTTCCCATATCCCAGTGGCACCTGGAACACCAGCAAGACAGAACTGTTCCCTCCCCTGGAAAGGGGGCTGAAGCCAGGGAGCCAAGTGGTCTGGCTCAGTGGGTCTCACCTCCACAGAGACCAGCAAGCTAAAATCTACTGGCTTGAAATTCTTGCAGCCAGCACAGCAGTCTGAGTTCAACCAGAGTTGGTTGAGCTCAGTGGGAGGAGGGGCATCCACCATTGCTGAGGCTCAGTAGGTGCTTTCAACCCCACAGTGTAAGCAAAGCTGCCGGGGAACACCAAACTGGGCAGAGCCCAACACAGCTCAGCAGCCACAGGCACTGTCTCACGAGATGTCCTCGCTGGGATGAGCATCTCTGAAAAAAGGCAGCAGCCCATCAGCCTTCCTGGAACAGAACACCTAGGAAAAGGGGCGGTAATGGGTATAGCTTCAACAGACCTAAACGTCCCTGACTGGCAGTTCTGAAGACAGCAGCAGATTTCCCAACATTGTGTTCCAGCTCTGTTAAGGGACAGACTGCCTCACGTGGCTCCTTGACCCCCGTGTATCCTAACAAGGAGACACCTCCCAGTAGGGGTCAACAGACACCTCATACAGGAGAGCCCTGGCTGGCATCTGGTGAGTACCCCTCTGGGATGAAGGTACCAGAAGAAGGAACAGGCAGCAATCTTTGCTGTTCTGCAGTCTCCACTGGTGATTCCCAGGCAAGCAGGGTCTGGAGTGGACCTCCAGCAAACTTCAGCAGACCTGCAGCAGAGGGGTCTGACTATTAGAAGGAAAACTAACAAACAGAAAGAAATAGTTTTAACATCAACAAAAAGGATGTCCACTCAGAAACTCCATCCAAAGGTCACCAATGTCAAAGACCAAAGGAAGATAAATCCATGAAGATGAGGAATAAACCAGCAAAAAAAAAGCTGAAAACTCCAGAGATCACAGCTTCTGGCCAGCAAGGGAGCACAACTGGATGGAGAATGAGTTTGATGAACTGATAGAAGCAGGCTTCAGAAGATGGATAATAACAAACTACTCCAAGCTAAAGGAGCATGTTCTAACTCAATACAAGAAAGCTAAGAACCTTGAAAAAAAGTTAGACGAAATGCTAACTAGAATAACCAGTTTAGAGAAGAACATAAACAACCTGATGGAGCTGAAAAACATAGCATGAGAATTTTGCAAAGCATACACAAGTTTCAATAGCTAAATCAATCAAGCAGAAGAAAGGATATCAGACACTGAAGATCAATTCAATGAAATAAGGCAAGAAGACAAGATTAGAGAAAAAAGTGAAAAGAAATGAACATCGCCTCCAAGAAATATGAGATTACATGAAAAGACCAAATTTATGTTTGATCGGTGTACCTGAAAGTGATGGGGAGAATGAAACCAAGTTGGAAAACACTCTTCAGGATATTATCCAGGAGAGCTTCCCCAACATGGCAAGGCAGGCCAACATTCAAATTCAGGAAATACAGAGACCACCACAAGATAATCCTCAAGAAGAGCAACCCCAAGTTGACAGTGGACAATCTAACATAATTGTTAGATTCACCAGAGTTGAAAGGAAGGAAAAAATGCTAAGGGCAGCCAGAGAAAAAGGTTGGGTTACCTACAAAACAAAGCCTATCAGACTCACAGCAGATCTCTCGGCAGAAACCCTACAAGCCAGAAGACAGTGGGGGTCAATATTCAACATCCTTAAAGAAAATAATTTTCAACCCAGAATTTCACATCCAGCCAAACCAAGCTTTATAAGCAAAAGAGAGATAAAATCCTTTATAGGCAAGCAAATGCTGAGAGATTTTGCCACCATCAGGCCTGTCCTACAAGAGCTCCTGAAGGAAGCAGTAAACATGGAAAGGAACAACCAGTACCAGCCACTGCAAAAACATACCAAATCTTAAAGACCAACGACGCTAGGAAGAAACTGCATCGACTAATGGGCAAAATAACCAGCTAGCATCATAATGTCAGGATCAAATTCACAGATAACAACCTTAAATGTAAATGGGCTAAATGCCCCAATTAAAAGACACAGACTGGCAAACTGCATACAGAATCAAGACCCATTGGTGTGCTGTATTCAGGAGACCCATCTCATGTGCAAAGACACATATAGGCTCAAAATAAAGGGATGGAGAAAGATTTACCAAGCAAATGAAAAGCCAAAAAAAAAAAAAAAAAGATGTTGCAATCCTAGGCTCTGATAAAACAGACTTTAAACCATCAAAGATCAAAAGAGACAAAGAAGGGCATTACATAATGATAAAGGGATCAATGCAACAAAAAGAGCTAACTATCCTAAATATATATGCACCCAATACAGAAGCACCCAGATTCATAAAGCAGGTTCCTAGAGACCTACAAACAGACTTAGACTCCCACACAATAATAGTGGGAGACTTTAACACTCCACTGTCAATATTAGACAGATCAACAAAACAGAAAATTAACAAGGATATTCCAGGACTTGAACTGAGCTCTGGACCAAGTGGACCTAATAGACATCTACAGAACCCTCCACCCCAAATCAACAGAATATACATTCTTCTCAGCAACATATCACACCTATTCTAAAACTGACCACATAATTGGAAGTAAAACACTCCTTAGCCAATGCAAAATGATGGAAATCCTAAGAGTCTCTCAGACCACAGTGCAATCAAATTAGAACTCAGGATTAAAAAACTCACTCAAAACTACACAACTACATGGAAACTGAACAACCTGCTCCTGAATGACTACTAGATAAATAATGAAATGAAAGAAGAAATAAAGATGTTCTTCAAAACCAATGAGAATGAAGACACAACATACCAGAATCTCTGGGACACATTTAAAGCAGTGGGTAAAGGGAAATTCATAGCACAAAATGCCCAACAGAGAAAGCAGGATCTAAAATTGACACCCTAACATCACAATTAAAATAACTAGAGAAGCAAGAACAAACAAATTCAAAAGCCAGCAGAAGACAAGAAATAACTAAGATCAGAGCAGAACTGAAGGAGATAGACACACAAAAAAAACCTTCAAAAAAAAAAAAAAAAATGAATCCAGGAGTTTTTTTTTTTTTTTAAGATCAACAAAATAGAATGACCACTAGCCAGACTAATAAAGAAGAAAAGAGAGAAGAATCAAATAGATGCAATAAAAAAATGACAAAGTAGATATCACCACCAATCCCATAGAAATACAAACTACCAACAGAGAATACTATGAATACCTCTATGCAAATAAAACAGAAAATTTAGAAGAAATGGATAAATTCCTGGACACTTACACCCTCCCAAGACTAAACCAGGAAAAAGTCAAATCTCTGAACAGACCAAAAACGGGGTCTGAAATTGAAGCAACAATAGCCTACCAACCAAAAAAAAGTCCAGGACCAGATGGTTTCACAGCCAAATTCTACCAGAAGTACAAAGAGGAGCTGATACCATTCCTTCTGAAACTATCAGAAACAAATGAAAAAGAAAGAATCCTCCCTAACTCATTTTATGAGGCCATCATCCTGGTACCAAAACCTGGCAGAGACACAACTACAAAAGAAAATTTCAGGCCAATATCTGTAATGAGCATCGATGCAAAAATCCTCAATAAAATACTGGCAAATCGAATCCAACAGAACATCAAGAAGCTTATCCATCACCATCAAGTCAGCTTCATCCCTGGGATGTAAGGCTGGTTCAACATACACAAATCAATAAATGTAATCCATCACATAAACAGAACCAAAGACAAAAATCACAAGTATCTCAAAAGATGAAGAGAAGGCCTTCAACAAAATTCAACAACCGTTTATGCTAAAAACTCTCAATAAACCAGATATCGATGGAACGTATCTCAAAATAATAAGAGCTATTTATGACAAACCCACAGCCAATATCATACCAAATGGGCCAAAACTAGAAGCATTCCCTTTGAAAACCGGCACAAGACAAGGATGCCCTCTCACCACTCCTATTCAACATAGTATTGGAAGTGCTGACCTGGGCAATCAGGCAAGAGAAAGAAATAAAGGGTATTGAAATAGGTAAAGAGGAAGTCAAATTGTCTCT